CCAAGGGGCCCCCAGGGGCCCCCCAACCCAGGGGGCCCCCAGGGGGCCCCCCACCCAGGGAGCCCCCAGGGGCCCCACAACTGAAGGGGCCCTTAAAGGGCCCCCAACTGAGGGGGCCCCCCTGGGGGCCCCATCTGAGGGGGACCTCTAGGGCCCCCGAACCCAGGGGGACCCCCTGGGGGCCCCCACTGAGGGGGCCCCACAATTGGGGGCCCCAATTAAGGGGGCCCCCAAGGAAGCCCCAATTGAGGGGGTCCTTAGGGGGCCCCCAAATGAGGGGGCCCCTATGAACAAGTGAACCCTCTAGGGGCCCCGAAGCCAGGGGGCCCCCTGGGATATCCTTAAGAAGGTTTGTTCGTATGCCCCTGATGAAATAAAAAGATATAAGGGGGGGTTTCCTATAGGGGCCCCCTCGAACCTTCCTATAGGGGCCCCCGGGGGGCCCCTTGTCTGCTGCTGATGTGAAGCCTCGGCGCAGCAAGAGCCCTAATGGGGGGCCCCCAAGTGCAGAAGCATACATTTAAAAGAGTAAGAAGAGGAAGGGGCCCCTAAATGAGTTAATTGTATTATTATAAGGGCCCCTCTTTGTTAGAAGTATATCAAGGGGGGGCCCCCATGCAGTGCTCTCTTTACTTTTGCTTCGTTTGTATAATAACATCTCCTTTTATATATTATATTTAAAACAAAGTCTAAACAAATAAACATTTGCAAGTCATCTTAAGACCCCTCAAAAGGGGTAGAAAAGGGCCTCCAGGGGGCCCCCCCTGTGGGGCCCCCATAGGGGCCCCCTGGGGGGCCCCCAGTGTTGGGATCGTCTTGGATCGTCTGGGATCGTGTGCGGGATCGTGTGTGTGTCTCTGTCTTCTATGGTTAGTGTGCTGTGTGTTTGTATTTTTATTAAATTAAATAGTTATTTTTAAGCTTTGTTTTAATTTAAAAGAAGAATTTTGCTGCTGCTTGCTGCTGCTGCTGCTGTTGCGGTGTCACTGCACGAAGGCGTCGTCTGCGGTGTACAGCAGCTGCAGAGCGCTGCGTTTATTTATATTAAATATAAATTATAAATAAATTATAAATAAATTATTTTTTTTAATTAATAAAAAATATTTTGTTTAAATCTCAAAAATAATTTTTATTTTTCAGAAGAAGTCAAGGCGAGTGCCGCTGCTGCTGTAGCTGCGGCTGCTGCTGCTGCTGCTGCTGCTGTAACTTCTGCTGCTGCTGCAGCTGCTGCAGCTACTGTAGCTGCTCCTGGGGCTGCTGACACCTAAGAAGGAGGTCATCTCGCTGTTGCAGGTGCTGCTGTTTCAGTTGTTGTTGCAGCAGCAGCAGCAGCAGCAGCAGCAGCAAGAAAGGCTCTATGGTCGAGCTTCCTCATAGGGGCTTTTCTTAAAACAAAAAAGGGGCCCCCAGGGGCCCCCCTGTGACAGCTTTAATCGAATTACTGCTGCTGTGAAGCCGCCTATAAGCAGCACACACAAGAGACTTCTACAACACCAGCAAAACAAACAGCAGCAGCAGCAGCAGCAGCAGCAGCAGCAGGAGAAGCAGCACGAGAAGCAGCAGGAGAAGCAGCAGGAGAAGCAGCAGGAGCAGCAGCAGGAGAAGCAGCAGGAGCAGCAGCAGGGGCACCAGTAGGAGGAGCAGCAGCAACAGTAGCAAACGCAGAAGCAGCAGCAACAGCAGCTATTTCATTGTGCTGCAGTTCTTCTCTTCGGCTGAATCCATACAAATGTCGCCTTGGGGTTTCTCCGCCCCCCCGCGTGGTGCTGCTGCTGCTGCTGCATCAGATGCAGCAACGGCAGCAGCAACAAAAGCAGCGGCAACAGAAGCTACAGCAGCTTCACAAGACCGATCGATAGCGAATTTGCATAATGAAGACACAGCAACAGCAGTAGCAACAGCAGTAGCAACAGCAGTAGCAGCAGCAGGAACATCAGCAGCAGCAGCAGCAGGAACATCAGCAGCAGCAGCAGCAACAGCAGCAACAGCAGCAGCAACCGTATCCAAAGGAGCTTCTTCCTTTGTCTCGCTGTCTCCTTCCTCTCAATTCTGCTGCTGCGCTTCCTCTTCTTCGAAGTGCAGCAGCAGCAGCTGCTGCTGCTGCAGCACGACCAGTACCACCAGCAGCAGCAGCAGCAACAGCGCCGGCTCCTGCAGCACCAGTTGTTGCTGCAGCAGCACCAGCAGCACCAGCAGCACCAGCCGCAGCACCAACTGCGGCAGCATTAACTGCAGCAGCATGAGCAGCACCAGCAGCATCTCTAGCAGCAGCAGCAGCAGCAGCATCAGCAGCAACCGCTGCAGCGGTGGCGTGGTTAGGAGCAACATGAGCAGCTGCTGCTGCTGCTGGCTGCCCCCTCCTTTGTTTGTGCGGTGTCTACATTCTGCTGTCTCTGCTGCTGAGCTGTATTTATTATTTTCGTCTCTCGGCCCCCTTCGCTGTCTCTGGATTACTACAAAACATAAACAACAAAAAACAAATACAAATAAACAAACAACAAACTCTATCTTATACACAAACCCCTCCCTCACTCTATCAGGGGGCCCCCCAGGGGGCCCCTCAGGGGGGCCCTCAAGGACTCTATCTAGGGGCCCCTCAGGGGGCCCCTCTGGAGGCCCCTCAGGGGCCCCCTCTAGGCAGCCCTCTGGGGGCCCCCCAGGGGGCCCCTTAGGAGCCCCGTCTAAGAAACCCTCTGGGGGCCCCTCTGAATGCTTCTATGACTTATATGAGGGCCCCTCTGGGGGCCCCTCAAGGGCCCCCTCTAAGAAAAAGTCTAGAGGCCCCTCTGGGGGCCCTTCTGTATGTGTGATGGATGAAGGGTTATTAAGAAGGAGTGGGTTTGGTGTTGTTTGGTTTAGAGAGTTTAGGGGTTTTAACGGGGCTTTGCATGCAGCGCCCCGGGTGTATAGGCAGCTTCCTATTGTTCTAGAAGAAAGCAAAGTTTTGCTCAAGAGGGGCCCCCTGCTGCTGATGGAGGGGGGGCCCCTCAGAGTTGGATACGCCTGGAGAAGGTGCCCCAGCTGTGGGGCTGTTGCCTTCGAAGCAGCAGCAGCAGCAGCACCAGCAACAGCTGCAGCAGCAGCAGCAGCAGCATTACCAACAGCGGCAGCACCAGCAGCACCAGGAGCAGCAGCAGCAAATGGTGCTCCTACTCCTCCCACTATCACTACTACTACTACTACTGCTGCTGCTGCTCCTGCTGCTCCTGCTGCTGCTGCTGCTGCTGCAGGTCCTGTATTGTTAGAGTGGAGGCTAGGAGAAGAGCAGCTGCTGCGCCTCTTCTGGGTTGAGGGGGCAAAAGCAATAAAAATTGATATACCTCTCAAAGCACTAACAGGGAGAGTGTTTCTTCTTGCTGCTGCTGATCTTCCTGCTGCTGCTGCTGTTGCTGATGCTGCTGATGGAGCGGTCGAGGGGCAGCAGGTGGACAGCGGCAGCAAATGCAACAAGAGTAGCAGCAGCAGCAGCAGGAAGGGGCCCCTGCTGCTGCTATGCCCTGCGGTGTATCCTGAAGTGACAGTAGCTGAAGCTGAAGGAGACCCAAACGAGACGGGGCCCTTAGGAGACAGCTTAGGGGTCCCCGCTGCTGCTGCTGCTGCTGCTGCTTTAGAACATAAGAGCTTCCAGAAGCAAAATGAATCTGCTAGCGGTACAGCAGCAACGGGAGCAGCAGCAGAAGCAGCAGACGCATCAACGGCATCAGCAGCACCAGCAGCAGCAGAATCATCAGGAGAATCCACAGAATCAGCAGCAGCAGCAGCAGCAGCTTTGCTGCTGCTCTCTCGCGATGAAGAGCTGCTGCCTCCCCTGCGCTGCTACCGCTGGGCTGCCCCCGGCCCTGCGGGGCCCGTGGGGTGTCACTGGAGCGAAGGGACCCTGCTGCAGCAGCTATCTAAGTGCAAGGATTTGCTGCTGCAGCTGCCTGCTCCTGCTGCTCCTGCTGCTGCTCCTGCTGCTCCTGATAATCCTGATAATGCTGCTGCTGCTGCTGCTGCTGCTGCAAACTGCAGTTGGTGGTGGGTCGAAGAGCTCAGGAGACAGGGCCTGCTGGCAGCAGCACCAGCAGCAGCGACACCGGGAGCAGCAGCAGCAGCAGCAGAAGCAGCAATCGCACCAGCAGCAGCAAAACCACCAGCAGAACCAGCGGCAGGTGCAGCAGCCGGTGAAGCAGCAGCAGCAGGAGCAGCAGCAGAATTTATTGATAGTTTGCCTGCGGTGTATGTGAGCGTCGAGCCCCTTGAAAGAGCAGCAGAACTGCGGTGTATATCCAAGGCAGTGCTGCAGAGACAGCCGCAGCTGCTGCTGCAAGGTGTATCCTTTGGCTGTCTCTCGCAGCCTCTAGAGCAACACACAGAAGCAACAGCAAATAAATGCAAGCACTGCCCCGCTGCTGCTGCAGCAGCACAAGCAGCAGCAGCAGCACAAGCAGCAGCAGCAAAAACGGCAGCAGCAAAAACGGCAGCAGCAGAATCAGCAGCAGCAGCACAAGCAGCAGCAGCACAAGCAGCAGCAACACCAGCTGCAGGAACACCAGCAGCAGCAGCAGCAACAGCAGCAGCAGCAGCAGGAACAGCAGCAGCAGCAGCAGAAACAGCAGCAGCAGCAGCAGCAAATGAGGGAGGTGGGGCTGGAGCGTGGCAGCTGTGGGTGGAGATGCAGCGGCATCTGTCTCTGGGTTTGCTGCAGCCTCCTTCATTTTTCGAATGCTATGCTGCAGCAGAGACTGCTGCTGCTGCTGCTGCTGCTGCTGCTGCTGCTGCTGCTGCTGCTGCTGCTCCTCTGTCTTTGTCTCTGCCTCTTCTTTTATGTAATTCTGCTCTGTCTCCTTACCTCCTCAGACATTGTCTAAAAACCTTCGAAGTAGAGACAGCAGCAAAAGGAGATGTTATTCAAACATATCCCCCAGTTAAACGCATCCACCAACTCATAAACAATACCCCGTAAGGGTTTAGGGTTTAGGGTTTAGGGTTTAGGGTTTAGGGTTTAGGGTTTACGGTTTACGGTTTAGGGATTACGGTTTCAGGGTTTAGGGTTTGACGGTTTAGGGTTTAGGGTTAAGGGTTTAGGGTTTAGGGTTTAGGGTTTAGGGTTTAGGGTTTAGGGGTTTTGCAGTTTCATGTTCGGGGGGTAGCAGCCCCAAATGCTACATCTGCAAGAACAGCAGCAGCAGCTGCTGCTGCTACTGCCTTGGGCTCAACAGCAGCAACGACAGCAGTATCAGCAGCAGCATCCGGCTTAGCAGCAGCAAGATCAGGATCAGGATCAGCAGCAGCAGCAGCAGCAGCAGGAGGGGGCTATTTGCTGTGTATTGTTGTTGTGTGTTTTATGCTGTCTCAGTAATTCGTTTGCTGCTGCAGTTTGCTGCTGCAAGGAGACAGTAGAGGTGCCGCATATAGATGTGTCTCCTTTGAGAATAATATGCAGAGGCATCTCTATTGAGAAGAGCAACAGATTGATAAGGAGGTTTGCTGCTGCTGCTGCTGCTGGGGCTTTCGTTAGGGTGTCTCTAACTGAGGAGACAGGCGACCCTCTCTATATTCGTAGGCGAGTGCGTTCAGCTGTCTCTAACTTATTTCTTTTGTCTCCTTTTGTTTACTATGTCTTTTGTCTCTTTTTGTCTCTCCTTGTTTAGGGTTTAGGGTTTAGGGTTTAGGGTTTAGTTTCTTTTTGTCTTTTGTTTATTCTTCTGTCTCTATTATTATTTGTTTTTGTTTATTTTGTTTGTTTGTTTATTTTGTCTCCTTTCTCTCTGCTGTCTCCGTTTATCTTTTATTTGTTTTGTTTGCTGTTGTTTGTTTCTTTGTTTAATCGCTCACTATCTTCTTATTGCAGCAGCAGCAGCAGCGGTTGCAGCAGCAGCACCACCACCAACAGCAACAGCAGCAGCATCCCCTAAACCCTAAACCCTAAACTCTAAACCCCGAAACCCCACCCCCAACCCCCGAACCCCCCATACTCCCAAACCCCAAAACCCTAAACCCTAAACCCTAAACCCTAAACCCTAAACCCTAAACCCTAATGTTTGTGTTTGTTTGTTTCAGAACCAGGAGGGGTTTAGTTATGCTTTGCTTCGTCTGTGTTTAAAGCATCGCGTATTCGGCGGACTGCAGCTAAACCATCTTAACTTTGAGTTTTTAGGGTTTTCGCTCGCACAGCTCAGAAAGGGAAGCTACTGGGCACTCTGTACACAAAGTATATCAAACCCTAAACCCTAAACCCTAAACCCTAAACCCTAAACCCCTAACTCTTAACCCTGAAGGCTATACCCTATACCCTAAACCCTAAAACCTTAACCCTAAACCCTAAACCCTAAAACCCTAAACCCTTTAACAATAAACCCTCGACTCTAAGCAATAAACCCTAAGCCATAAACGATAGCCACTAAACCCTAAACAATAAACCCTAAACCCTAAACAATAAACCCTAAACCCTAAACCCTAAACCCTAGCGTCTGAAAGCTTGCGTCTTAATATTTGATATCTGTACACTGTGGGGGCTTCTACAAAGGCATTATCTTTTTCCTGGGGGCATTTACGGTTTAGGGTTTAGGGTTTAGGGTTTAGGGTTTAGGGTTTGTGGTTGCAGTTAGTTCTTTAACTCGACAAGATGTGCTGCATGCATTGGGGCTTGAAGAGACATCTTTTCCGGGTTTGTTTGCTCGGCGGTTTGGTCTCTGCATTAGCAGCACTACACCAACAGTGCTGCTGTCTGAGCTGAGTATACACCTCAAAGAAGATATTACTTCTCTTTCTGTTGATTCGAGTAGACACCCCACAAACCTCCGAACAGATACAAAACATCCCTATTGCTTTACAGGTAAACCCTAAATAACCCTAAATAACCCTAAACCCTAAACCCTAAACCCTAAACCCCAAACCCTAAACCCTAAGGTCTAAAACCTAGATCTCTCTGTCTGTTTATAAACCCTTTCTGACGTTTGCTGCTGCTCGTCGCTGTTCCTGCTGCTGCAGCAGTTTTGCTGCTGCTGCTGCAGCAAGGAGACACCCTCTTCTATGCTAACAGCCTGGAGAGACCCTTCTTCTTGCTTTTCCTGTCCTTTGCATGTGCTTCTGCTACTGCTTCTGCTACTACTTGTGCTTCTGCTGCTTTTGCTGCTGCTGCACTGAGTTTCTGGTGTTGGTGCTTGTGCTGGTGCTGCCGTACATATATATATATATATATATGTATATATGTATATCTATATATATGTGTGCGTGTGTGTGTTTACATATGTATAGATATATGTATATATATATATATATATCCATGTATATATATATATATGTATATATATATGTATATATATATGAATATATTCATTAATATATGTATATATATGTATATATATGTATTTATATATTTATTTGTTTATTTTATTTATTTATTAATGTGTATACAGACGGTTGCGGGAGTATATCAGCGAGTGCTTGGCGTCGGCTGTCTTTGATTTTTAGTGCAGCAAAAAACAGCAGCGCTTTTCAGATGCGCTTGGGGGGTTTAAAGGGTATGCTGTCTGTACACCCCGATTCTAAAGATAAATTAAAAGGTGCTGAGGTCATTGTTCATCAATCTATGCTGAAATATAAACATAAACAAACCCTTCTAGTGAGGACATTACGTGCTGCTGCTGCTGCTGCTGTTATCGCTGCTGTTGCTGCTGCTATAGCTGCTGTTGCTACTGCCCTCGCTGCTGTCGCTGCTGTTGCTGCTGCTATTGCTGCTGTTGCTGCTGGATCGAGGGCTTCTGGAGCTTAAACTTATGCATGCATGCTGTCGCTTAAATGCATGCGTCTGTACATACAGGAGTTGGAGATAAATGATTATTCGCGGCGCCTCGCTGCATTTCTTAATCATCAGGTATCCAGAGCTGCCTATACACTCCATTAACTGCCTATACACTCCAGAAGCTGCCTGTACACTCCAGAAGCTGCCTATACACTCCAGAAGCTGTCTATGAATGCCTTGAGGTGTCTGTACACCCCAGAGATATTTATTAACTCCATCGAGATTTATACACTGTAAAATAAATTGTATATACCCTAAACGGTTTATACGAACCCTATGCTGTTTATCCTATCTGTCTAAAACCCTAAACCCTAAACCCTAAACCCTAAACCCTAAACTCTGCATATGCACTCTTATTTTCTTTGTTTTGTTTTGAAGGTTATTTTGCTGCTCGATGCCCGAGGCGTCCCTTACTCCGCTTTTGAGTCGCTGCAGCAGCGCATGTTAGACCTTCTGCAAACACCAGGCAAACAACGTCAGCTAAACCCTAAACCCTAAACCCTAAACCCTAAACCCTAAACCCTAAACCCTAAACCATAAACCCTAAACCATAAACCCTAAACAATAAACCGTCAGCCATAAACAATAAACCCTCACGCATAAACTATAAACCCTAAACCCTAATTCCTGCGCAGACACTCGAAAGAATAAACCCTAAACCCAAAACCCTAAACCCTAAACCCTAAACCCCTCGAAGCAGAATTGCAAATGCTTCGCTCATCTCGAGGCTAAACTCTAAATTTTAAAGAGACTCTGTGGGGTGCTTTTGCATGCTGCTGCAATGCGGTGTACGTACACCCCACAGGCACAGCGATGTTGGCGCTGCTGCAGTGCGCAGAGACAGACACAGACCTGCGTGGGCCGGCTAGCCGCATTTGCTTCGACCTGCTGCACATGAACAGCAGCAGCAGCAGCAGCAGCAGCTACAGCACCAGCTGCAGCGGCTGCAGCAACAGCACTAGCATCTCCAACAGCACCACCAACACCAGCACTAGTAGCAGCAGCAGCAGCAGCAACAGCAGTAGCTGCTGCAGCAGCAGTAGCAGCAGCAGCAGCGGCTGCTGCTGCAGCAGCAGCATCATTGGCTACGGCAGTTTCAGTCTGCAGGAGCCGTTTCTTAGATCTGTTGCTGCAGCAGCAGAAGATCATTGCTTGCGTCTCCTCAGGGAGAGAGCGCGAATATGGGTAGAGGTGAACTGAGGCCTCATTGCTGCTGCTGCTGCTGCTCCTCATGTTGCTGCTGCTGCTGCTGCTCCTCATGTTGCTGCTGCTCCTCCTCATGTTGCTGCTGCTGTTCCTCATGTTGCTGCTGCTGCTATTGCTGCGGTTTCTGCTTCTGTTGTTGTCGTGGTTGCTGCTGCATCTGCTGCTGTTGCTGCACGTGCTGCTGTTTCTGCTGCTGCAGCTGCTTCTGCTGGTGTTGCTGTTACTGCTGCTGTTGCTGTTTCTTCTGTGGCATTGGCTGCTGCTGCCCCTCCTGCTGCTGCTGCTGTTTTTGCTGTTGCTGCTATTGTTTCTGTTGCTGCTGCTCGTATATATGTGTTTGCGTTTGCTATACGGTGTACGCACACTGCTGCGCCTTGCATGCATGCATGCATACATGCATTTTGTGGGGTGTTGGGGCTGTCCTATATGCTTAGAAAGGAGCTTATCTGTTTGGAGTCGTCGATCCCACGCATTCGCTGCTGTATGATCACGGATGGAGGTGTGGGGCCCCCTCGCAGCGTGCATGCGCGGGGCTTCCTGAGGTGTACATACACCTCACACGCCCTTCATGCACTCCCTGGGAGCTCTGTGGGGTCCAGCCAGGAGACCGTTGCTGCAGCTGCAGCAACAGCAGTAGCCGCAGCCACCGCACTCGCAGCAGCAGCAGCAGCAGCTGCTGCTGCTGCAGTAGCAGCAGCAGAGGCAAGAGCCTAAGGGATAAAGTAGCTGCAGCTATCCCATGTGGGGCTGCCAGCCCCAAATCGGAGGTTTTATCAGGTGTTGTAGCAATTGTTAAATCCCCTTGCTTGCATCCAGGAGACCTGCAGCTCTGCTACGCAGTAAAACCCTAAACCCTAAACCCTAAACCCTAAACCCTAAACGAATCTCTAGGCCGTAGCCACTTTGAATTTTTTTCTTGCACTTGCTGGAGGGTGAAACTACCAGAATAGGTGCTTAGAGGTTAAGGGTTTGGGCTTTGCAGTCAGATGTCCTAGGGTTTAGGGTCTAGGGTTTAGGGTTTAGGGTTTAGGGTTTAGAGTTGAGGTGGGAAAGAAGGAGCTGTCTACTGTACACTTCAGGTGGGACTTGCAGAGCTGCCTGAGGACTGCCCTCTACGGGTCCCTTTGGAAGCCTGTCCCAGAGGAGACGACCCCACAGGAGACGATCCCAGAGGAGACGATCCCAGAGGAGACGATCCCACAGGAGACGATCCCGATCCCGGCGTGCATGCGTTAAGAGACCTTGTAGTGTTTCCTCAGCCACCTGTGGGGTCCTGTTCCTTTACAGCAAATGGTATATGGCCCCCTCTAAATTGGAGACACCCCGCTGTACATCGGTATGCCCCTGCACCCTTCTCTGGTGTACGTACACCTGAATGCTGCTGCTGCTGCTGCTGCTGCTGTTTCTGCTGCTGCTTCTGCTTCTGCGTCACCCCCGATGCTGTCCTTTCATTTGCTGCTGCAGCTGAAGCTGCTGCTGCTGCCTCAATGGCTGCTACTGCAGTTGCTGCTGCTGCTGCTAAGGGCGTTGCTGCCGCTGGTGGTGTACTTGGGGATGTGGGGTAGTATGGGTGGCTGCTGCTGCTGCTGCTGCTGCTGCTGTTGCTGCTGCTGTCGATGCTGAAACTGCCGCTTCTGCGGATGCTCCCACGGCAGCAACCAGCAACAGCAACAGCAACGGCAGCAGCAGCAGCAGGAGCAGCAGCAGCACTGTGGGTCCTGGAAAGTCCCCTGTGCCTGTTTTTTTCGCGCAGCGACAGCAACAGCAGCAGCAGCAGCAGCAGCAGGAAGGGACATGAGTACGAGTACAGCTTCCGCGACATTCCTAATATGTTATCAGGAGGCGACCTCGATGGAGACAGGTTCTGGGTACTGTGGGAGGAGTCTCTTGTGCTGCCGCTGCTGCAGCTGTGGGCTCAGGGAAAGGCCCCTGCTCCTGCTGCAGCGCATGCACCAGCAGCAGCAGCAAACACAAACAGCAACAAGTACTACAGCAGCAGCAGCAGCAGCAGCTTTTGCGGTAGCAGCAGCAGCAGCAGCTGGAGCAGCAGCGAAGACGAATCTGAATGGGACACTGAAAAGAAATCGGCAGCTCCAGCAGCAGCAGCAGCTGTTGTTGCTGCTGAAGCAGCAACAGCAACAACAGCAACGGCAGCAACAGCAGGAGTAGCAACAGGCAATGCCCAGGACATGGCTGAAGAGGGCAATGGAAAAGAAATAGCAGCACCAGCAGCAGCAACAGCAGCAGCAACAGCAGCAGCAACAGCAGCAGCAACAGCAGCAGCAACAGCAGCAGCAGAGCTAAAAGAGATAGCATTAGACTTCCCACCGGAAGCAACAATAGCACAAAACACAAATGAGACAGCAGCACAGCAAGCAGCAGTAGCAGAGACAACAGCAACAGCAGCAGCAGCAGGGGAGACAACACAGGAAGGAACAGCAACGGGTGATGCAGCAGCGCAGCAGGCTGCAGCAGCAGCAGCGGAATCATCGCAGCAAGCAGCAGCAGAAGAGACAACAGCATTAGCAGCAGTAGGAGAGAAAGCAGCACAACAAACAGCAGCAGCAGCAGCGGAACAAGCAGCAGCAACAGCAGCAACGGGAGAGACAACAGCAACAGCAGCAGCAGCAGCAGCAGACGAAACATTGCTACAACCATCCGCAGCAACAGCAGCAGCAGCAGGAGAGACAGCACTAGCAAGGCAAAACGCGCCAGCAGCAGCACGTGACGCAGCATCAGCATCAGCAGCAGCAGCATCAGCAGCAGCAGCAGCAGCAGAGGTGAAGAGACTGTCTCGTTATTTGCTGCGGGTAAGGTGTCTCTTCCAGCTTGGGGTTTTATCTAAAAATCATTTCCGTTTTTGCCTGTCTCCTAAATGTTATTATGCAAAGGAGCAGCAGCAGCAGAAAGGGTTTAATAGGGTATGTGTACAGCTAGCTGATCTTGCTGCTGCTGCTGTTGATGCTCCCAAGACAGGGCAGCATGTGCTGCTGAAGCAGCACATGCGCTGTCTCCTTGAGCCCCACTTCCTTGCTGCAACCTCTCGCAAGCAGCAGCAGCAGCAGCAGCAGCTCTTTGCTGCTCCTTATAAGCAGCAACAGCTAAAACCTGTTGTCTCCAACTCTATCCTGGGCTGTCTCTACAACAAACTGCTGCTGCCTCTTAGTGTCTCCCGAAATGCACAGAACAAGCTAAACAATATAAATGCATATCAAGGTAACAACTGCTGCTGCTGCTGCTGCTGCTGCCACTGCTGCTGCTGCCACTGCTGCTGCTGCTGCTGCTGCTGCATCCAGGCGAACTGCGCAGCCACTGCAGCAGCAGCAGCAGCAGCCGCAACAGCATTAGTACTGGATACCCTCTTGCTGCTGCTACTGCTCCCGCTGCTGCTACTGCTCCCACTATTGCTGCCGCTGCTACTGCTCCCGCTGCTGCTGCTGCTGCTGCTGCTGCTGTGTTTAGGCTGGCCCCTGTCTCGCCTATTTTCTCCTTTGGGTCTGAAGGCAGTGTGCAGCGGTGTTGAGTGCACTGATGAAGTTGTGTCTCCTTATCTAAAAGGAGACAGACGCATTTACTGTCTCCAAGCTGAGGTGCTGCTGCCGCATACACTCGTTGCTGGGGGCCCCACACCCCCTGGATACGATCCCAGGGGGGCCCCACATGCTGTCCTCACGGCTTTGCGCTTCTCTGCACTCAACTGCCCAACCTGCAGCCAACCCCGCAGCAGCAGCAGCAGCAGCAGCAGTGATTTGAGGTACGTTCGGGCTGTGTGCTGTCGCTGCTGCTGTCTCTTTCAGCTGCTGCAGTTTCAATGAGGGTGTATAAACATTTAGATGTGCACCAGCTGCTACTTTAGCTGCAGTTGCTGCTGCTGCTGTTGCTATTGCTGCTGCTACTGTTGCTGCTGCTGCTGTTGCTGCTGCTGTTGTTGCTGTTGCTGCTGCTCTTGTTGCTGTTGCTGCTGCTGTTGCTGCTCTCCTTATGCCTTTACTGCTGCTTAGGTGCTGCGTGTGGATGCGCAGCAACAACTGCTGGAGGGGAGGTTGCAGCAGCAGCAGCAGGGTGGTGTCTGCGTGTCCCTGTCAGCAGCCCCAACACTGTACAGCGGAGCAGGCCTTCTCGTGCAGTGCTGCATGCAGAAGCAAATTATTTAATGTCTTTACAATACCCTCAGCTTTACTGCTCTCTTTGCTGCTCTTTGGGGCTCGCAGCAGCAGACCCGCTTGCTGCTGCTACCACACAACTCACACTTGGAGGCAAGCCCCGCTACGTGCTGCTGCTGCTGCTGCTCCTGCTCCTGCTGCTGCTCCTTCTGCTGAGGGATGTGGCTTTGCTGCGGTATATGCCTGCTTTGCTGTGGCTGGTGCTGCTGCTGCTGTGGGTGGTGTTGCTGCTGCTGTGGGTGGTGTTGCTGCTGCTGTGGGTGGTGTTGCTGCTGCTGTGTTGCTGCTGTTTTGCCTTCTGCTGCTGCTGCTGCTGCTGCTGTTGTTCCTGCTGCAGCTCCTGCTACTGCTGTGCCTGCTGCTGCTGCTACTGTGTCTGTTGCTGCTGCTGCTACTTTTGATGCTGCTTTCCTGTTCTTGCAGCAGCAGCATCTCTCATTTGTGTTTCTGGGTTGACGCTACCAGAGACAACAGCAACAATGCTGCCTCTCCTGCTGCTGCTGCTGCTGCTGCTGCTGTTTGTATTGTTTGTGCTGCTGCAGTTGCAGTGGAGTGCTTGCTGCCTGATACAGGAGAGGTGTTTTTAAGTGCTCCAGTCTTTGCTGCTCCTCTCGTGCTGCCGCAGCAGCAGCTGTGGGGCCCCGAAGGCCCTGCGGTGTATATACACCTACCAAGGGCAGCAGCAAACCCTCAGGTGAAAACATCAGACAGCCGCAGCTAGCTGCAGATCCGCGGGGGACTGCTGCTGCTGCTGCCGCTGCTGCTGCTTCAGCTGCAGCTGCTGCACCTCCCCCTGTTTTCACAGGGTTTGTTGCTGTTGCTGCTGCTGCTGCTGCAGTTGTTATGACTACGACATTGCTGCTACTGCTGCTGTCGTTGCTGTTGCGTCTGCTGCTGCAGTATCAAGCACAATCTGTGCCACTGCTGCTGCTGCTGCTGCTGCTGCTGATCATAGATGTGTTGTTTTGTGTCTGTTCAGAGACTGCTGGCTGCAATTAATGAAGAGCTGCTGTCTGTCTTGCCTTCCTCTCTGTCTCCTCCGCCTTTGCTGCAGCAGCTGTCTCTGCTGCCGAGCAGCAGCAACCAGCAGCACGCCATTTATAGGGCAGCATTGGGGACTAGCAGCAGCAGCAGCAGCAGCAGCAGCAACAGCAGCAGCACTAGCAGCAGCAGCAGCAGCAACGGGGGCGCCTCTCAGGTTTTGTCTTTGCTGTTTGAACGGGGTGTATATTCTTCTTGCTGCGCTGTCTCTTCTTTAGGAGACAGTGAAGAGCCTCTCGCGCTGCTGTCTCCTTCACCGCACTCTGTTGTGTGGGGAGACTGGCTGGCAGCACCTTGGCTTAGGGAGCTGCAGCAGCAGCACGTGCTGCTGCTGCGCTGCATTGTCGTCAGCCCTCTCAGCAGCAGCAGCAGCAGCAGCAGCGGTGGAAGCTTTAGCAGCATTTACAGCAAACAGAACAGCAGCAGCAACAACACACGTAATACACAAACCAGCAGCAACGTAAACAGCCCCCAACACGCTCCCAGCAGCTGCAGCAGAGATGCTGCTGCACCGCACAGCAGCAGCAGCAACAGCAGCAGCAGCAGCAGCAATAACCGGCATAGAAAGAAGCAACTGGGGTTGTGGGAAGAGGCGGAGGCGACTTTGCTGCTGCAGCAGCAACTGAGTCGTTTGCTGCATGCAGCAGCAGCAGCAAAAGAAGATGAAGCGCTGCTGCTGCACCCGTACTTGAGGCCCCGTGTAGATATACAGAGGTCTCCAACTGCTGCTGTCTATACACTCGAGAGGCGCAGCAACAGCGGCACTCAGCTCTTCGTTGTCTTAGATGTTAGCTGTCTCCTTGTCTCTGTCTGCTTTGCTGTCTCCCTGTCTCTGCCTTCTTTACTGTCTCTCTCTCTCTCTCTATATATATATATATATATAAACATCTATATATGTATATGGATACATATATATATACATGCCTGTCTCTTCCTTTTTTGCTCTTTCTCTCCGTCTATGCATGCATATATATATATATTATATATGTATACATATATATATATATATATATATTTATTAATTTATTATTTTATGTCTCTGTTATGTCTCTGTTTGCTTCAGCGTCCCCTTACGGGTGTCTGTTTGCGTCTGTTCCTGCTGGAGTTGCTGCAGCGCAGCAGCAGCAAAGCAAAGGAGACAGCTGAGACTTTCTTTAAGGGTGTGGGGTTTTGTCTCCATCTGCCGCAGCTACCCTCCCTGGGATCGTCTCTAAACTCGATCCCAGCAGTTGCACAGAGCCCCCTTGACGCCCTCGGAGCAAAGCTGCTACTGCAGCACCATTGGAGACACAGGAGACACTTGCTGCTGCGTATACACCCCAGACAGCAGCAGCAGCAGCAACAGCAGCAGCAGCAGCAGCAGCAGCAAGGGCTGCGGAGGGGTTTGGAGACAGCTGTTATAGAGTTTCTGCAGCAAGCGAAGGCCTCTATGGTTTTGTCTCCCCACGAGGAGACACCAGAACCGAGAGATATGCTGTGCTGCAGCAGCAGCAGCAGAAGCAGAAACAGCAGCAGCAGCAGCAACAGTAAGGTCTCCTCATACAGGGCCAGCGACTTAGCTGCTTTTGTCTCCTCAGAGATATCCCCGCCAGCAGCATCCGCTGCTCTGCTGCTGCCTGCTGCTGCCTGCTTCTGCAGTGTAGCTAGCTACCTAGAGGGTCTAGCTAGCTATCTACTAATCACTCATAACACGCATGCTTAGTACTCAGTTAGCTAGCTAGCTAGCTAGCTATCTATCTAGCTACATAGCTAGCTAGCCGGTTAGGTAACTGGCTAGCTAGCTAACTGCGTAGCTAGCTAGATAGATAGGTAGTTGCATAGTTGCCTGTCTGGCTAGCTAGCTAGCTAGCTAGCTAGCCGTTGAATTGCCGCATGAATCCGAATGCAGCTGCTGCTCTAGCGAAGAAGACGGCTAGCTAGATGGCTAGCTAGTTATGTAACTAGCTAGCTAGCTAGCTAGCTAGCTAACAGTGCCTCTACCTACCCGAGCTAGCTTGGCTAGATAGATTGTTGCTGGACGATGCGCTTAATGGGTGTCTTTGCTGCTGCTGCTGCTGCTGCTGCTGTTTCTGCTGCGGGTGTTTTGTTTCCTTTGCTTCGCAGCGACGGCGCTTTTGGTGTTTAGCAGCGCCTGTGAATGCTCTGCCTTTTTGCAGCAGCATCAGCAGCAGCAGCAACAGCAGCAGCAGCAGCAGCAGCAGGTGCTTGCAGGGGCCCCCACTAGCAGCTATGCTTTCTTTCTTTTAAGACCCCCCATCCCCTGCAGCGCTGCGCTGAACTCTTCTACGCCGCACATCCCTTGGGTTATCAGACAGCATGTAAAGCAAATGCAGCAGCAAGTCCATCAAGGTCAGGTTCCTGCTGCTGCTGCTTCTGCTGCTGCTCCTGCTGTTGCTCTTTCTGCTCCTGCTGCTCCTGCTGCTGCTCTTTCTGCTCCTGCTGCTGCGGCTCGTGCTGATGCTGGTGGTGCTGCTGCTGCTCCTGGTGCTGCTGTCTGTGCTGCTATGGCTGCTGGCGATGCTTCTGCTGCTGCTGCTGCTGCTGCTGCCTCTGGTGACTCTGCTGCTGGGATTACTGCTGGTGGCCTTGCTGCAGCTGCAGCAATTGGAACTGTCGCTGCTGCTGCTGTTGCTGCTGCTGCGGATCCATGCCGTGCCTACAACGGGCTGCATTAGCAGAATCCCAGCAGCAGCAGCAACAGCAGCAGCAGCAGCAGCAGCAGCAGCAGCAGTGGAATTGAGAAGAAGCGAAGTCTTTTTGAGTGTTTGTTTTTATTTATTTGCAGCGCACAGGGAGTCCCTCAGGGCTGCGGTGATGGCTTTGCCTGCAGAGGAGACAAAGGAGACCCTTTGTTCAGGCGGTGTACATACACCTGAAAAAGAGGAGACACCATCTGCTGCTGCTGCTGCTGCTGCTGCTGCTGGTGTTGCTGCTGCTGGTGCACGTCTTCACCCTCCTCCTCCTATGCATCTGCAAGCAAAGGGCTTCCGCAGCAAAGCCAGCATCTTCTCTCTCCTAAAGCATCTGTACAAGGGGGCTCTGCCCCCTTTGCTGGTCGAAGAGGGCCCCCAGGGGGCCCCCTGGGGAGAGGGTACAGGGGCCCCCTGGGGAGAGGGTACAGGGGCCCCCTGGGGGCCCCCCCTTTGGGAGGGTACAGAGGCTCCCTGGGGGCCCCCCTCCGGTGGGTGTACAGGGGCCCCTTGGGGGGCCCCCTCAAAGGAGGGTACAGGGGCCCCCTGGGGGCCCCTATTGGGACAGGGTACAGGGGCCCCCTTGGGGGCCCCATCAAAAGAGGGTACAGGGGCCCCTTGGGGGGCCCCTTCGAGAGAGGGTATAGGGGCCCCCCTAGGGGCCCCTTCAGGAGAGGGTAGGGGGCCCCCCTGGTGTATGGGTAAGGGGGGCCCGTACTGGGTTGAGGGTAGGGGGGCCCCCTTAGGGGCCCCCTCTATTGATTGGGTGCCTGATGATGATGTGCTGAGGTATTCGCCTAAGCGTCTCTTAGAATTTGGTTTAGAAGTTGCTGCGTTAAAGAAGGAGTGGGATACGAAGCTGCTGCAGCTGCTGCAGCAGTTTGCTGCTGCTGATGAAGCAAGTCTACTGAGCTGTTATAATGAGAAGACGGGGCCCTCTAGATATACTTTTACTTTTATACAAGAGGTAAGAAAGATATTATAAAGATATAATGCATGCGGGGTGCTCACTGTCTTTATTTGTCTCTTTACTAATCTCTCTCTTTATCTTTTCATTGTCTCTTTATTTATTTATTTGTCTGTATCTGTCTCCTTCTTTACTTCTTTCTTTGTCTGTCTCTTTATCTGTCTCCATTATTTATCTTTGTCTTTATTATTTTGTCTCTGTCTCCTTTCTTTTGTCAGAGACAGAGACAAACACAAAAATAAACAAAGAGAGACAAAGAGAGAGACAAAGAGAGACAAAGAGAGACAGAGAGAGAGAGAGACAAAGAGAGAGACAAAGAGAGACAGAGAGAGAGAGAGAGAGAGAGAGAAAGAGAGGCAGAGACAGAGACAGAGACAGAGACAGAGAGACAGAGAGATAGACAAAGAGAGAGATAGAGAGAGACAAAGAGAGAGACAGAGACAGAGAGACAAAGAGAGAGACAAAGAGAGAGACAAAGAGAGAGAGAGACAGACAGAGACAGATTGGCTTTGTGTTGTTTGCTGCTGCAGCAACTGCTGAGTGTCTGCTCTTTTTATCTTTCTTTTTACTCTCGGCGTTTCTTTGGCTTGCAATTAAACAGCGGAGATAAAAAAGCTGTTGCTGCTGCAGCATATTACTTTTCTTATGTCTCTGCTGCTGCTCTTGATGCCTTCTTAGCAGCAAACAAAGAAGCCACACAAAGCAGCGCTGCAGCACCAAACCCCTGCTGCTCCCGCTGCACCTCCTCCTGCTGCTCATGCTGCTGCTGCTGCAGCTGCTGCTGCTCCTGCTGCTGCTGCGGCCCCACAAACCCCACACCCCCAGTGCTTGCTGCTGATGAGATTGCGATGTTAAAATGTTTGAACATCGACTTCCTGCGTCTCTCTAATCCTATTAACCACCCCAGCAGCATTGCAGCAGCAAGCAGCAGCAGCAGCAGCAGCAGCAGCAGCAGCAGCAACGTCGCAGCAACAAACAGCAGCAGAAGCACCGCAGCAACAAACAGCAACAACAGCATAGCACCAAGCAGCAACAGCAGAAGCACGGCATGCAATTGCTGCAGCAGCAGCAGATGCTGCACGGAAACAAGAAGCAGCAGCAGCAGCAGCGCTACAAACAGCAGCAGCAACAGCAACAGCAGCACAACCACCACTTCTTCGCAATCCCCCTGTGGGCGTTTTGTTTCTTGCTGCTGCCACCAGCAGCAGCAGCAACAGCAGCAGCTCCAGCAGCAGCAGCAACTACAACTGCAGCAGCAGCAACCGCAGCAAAGGCAGCAGCATTTGTCTTCGTTTGTGTGGATGTTATATTATTCGGAGTTGAAAGACATCAAAGCAGCATCGTTTGCTGCTGCTGCTCTCAGCAAACCCTGAAACCTGATCTTCTTTTTTAGCTAGCTCCAAACCTCTCGATAAGACACCCCCGTTGTAATCCCTCTAGCTAGCTAGCTGGCTACCTACCTAGCTCTATAGCTAGCTAACTACCTAGCTACCTAGCTGGCTAGCTAGCTAGCCAGCTAGGTATCTCTCTAGCTGGCTAGCTACCTCTCTAGCAAGCTAGCTAGCTACCTCTCTAGCGAGCTAGCTAGCTACCTAACTACCTAGCTAGCTAGATATCTAGCTAACTAGTTAGCAAGCTGGCTAGCTAGCTAGCTAGCTAGCTAGGATAAGCCCGTGTACTTCCGCTGCACACAGGACTCGTCAGAGTTCAACACCACCGTTGCCAGTAGCTACCTAGCTAGCCAGCTAGCTAGCTAGCTAGAGAGTTAGATAGATAGATGCCTAGCTAGCTAGCTAGCGAGCTAGCCTCAAGCAATTTGTTTGCTAATAATGCAGCTACCTCGTCCTTTAGATGATACTTCAAGGGAGAAAGAGAAGGTTTTAAGGGTGAGGTAAAGGTATATAATATATATATATATATAAATATGTATATAAATATATATATAAATATATATATAAATATATATATATATATAAATATATATATATATATTGCATATATACAGTTTAGGCTTAAATGCATGAAGAAATGAAGAAAGCAGTCGAAGAATTAACTGAAAATTAATCGAATTATTGGCTGTTTATAATGAAATGCAACACACAAACCCTAAACCCTAAACCCTAAACCCTAAACCCTAATTCACCCCCCACACCGTGAGATGTGCGTCGAGCTAAAGCAACGCGTTTATGTAAATATAAATATATATTAAATAAATAAATAAAAATTTTTATTATTATTTAAATACTTTTCAAATAAATATACAGACATTTACTTCTAATTTTCATTTATAAGAGGGGGCCCCCCGAGTTGGGGGCCCCACGGGGTGTATGCGCAGCTCTGGTTGCCTTCTTCTCCTTCTACTTTTATTTAAATATCTTTTTGAAGATATTCTTATTCTTTTTTCTTCTACTTTTCATTTAAACGCATTAACCAGTACCTTAGGGGCCCCCCTGGAGGCCCCTGGGGGCCCCCCAGCAGCACAATTTGCTGCAGCAAACTGCAGCAGCTCCTTCTATAGACTTCTATAAGAAGCGGTGCATGCATTTAAGACGGAGTGAGGCGTTGCTAAGGGCCCTGGGGGCCCCTAGGGGCCCCCAGGCTGGGAGCCCTCTGGGGGGCCCCCCGTTCATTTTTGCTGCAGCAGCAACAGGTGCAGCGCAGCAGCATCAACACACTCATTGCTCTCTTGCTGCTGAATTCAAGAGGGGTTGCTGCTGCTTTTCTGCTGCTGCTGGGGCCCCTGCTGCTGTAGTCAGCGGGGCTGTTGTCTTTGGTTGCACGCATAGGCCTACGTATGCTTCTTCTTCGAGTGCTGCTGCTACAGCATATTGCAGCAGCAGCAGCAGCAGCAACAGCAGCAGCAATGCGGGGCTTATTCGCGCGTTCTTCGGGCTGCAGCCATGTGGGGTGCAGAAGCGGGGATTTGCTGCAGCAGCAGCAGCAACAGCAGCAAAAGCAGCAGAGAAGAGACGCAAAGAGCTGCTAAAGAGAAGGCGAAACTGGCAGCCCCCACATGTCCCTCAGTGCGTGTTGTCTCCCCCTAGGGTTTAGGGTTTAGGGTTTAGGGTTTAGGGTTCAATATTATAGGGTTCAGAGTCTAGTAGTAGGGTTGAAGGGCTACGGTTTGAGGTTTAGGGTTTAGGGTTTAGGGTTCAGTATTATAGGGTTCAGAGTGTAATATTAGGGTTTTAGGGTTTAGGGTTTAGGGTTTAGGGTTTGGTGTGTACAGGCGTTATTTGCGCGTGGAGGGCGAGTCGTGGGGCCCTAAAACCCCTCGCTTAGGGTTTAAGGGTTTAGGGTTTAAGGGTTTAGGGTTTGAGGGTTTAGAGAGGGGTGAGGGGCCTCATAAGATTATTGATGTGTCTTCTGCTGGAGACGAAGAGACAAAACAAATTAAATTTATTCAAATAGAGAAAAAGCCCCACCAGGTCTGAAACCCTAAACCCTAAACCCTAAACCCTAAACCCTAAGCCCTAAACCCTAAACCCTAGCAAAATGCCTTCACAAAGAACGCCCCATCTGCTACGCAAATCCGATGTTCAGGGTTTAGGGTTTAGCGTTTAGGGTTTAGGGTTAATATTGGCCGCTGCGGCGGCTGCTGCTGCTGCTATTCATTTTGCTGTGTCTATTCCTGCTGCTGCTGCTGCTGCTGCTGCTGTGCTGCAGTATGCAGCAGAGAGAGCGGCTGCTGCGCGAAGTCGCGATACGGGGGAAGGAAATTCTGTAAGAATAAAAACAAACCCTCTCTTTAGGGTTTAGGGTTTAGGGTTTAGGGTTTAGGGTTAAAAAGCGCTTACTGTTGTTATACACCTTGCTTTCTAGCGCTCTTCTTTTAAGTATTTTTGCTGCTGCTTCTGCTTCTGTTTCTGCTTCTGTTTCTGCTTCTGTTTCTGCTTCTGTTTCTGCTTCTGTTTCTGCTTCTGTTGCTGCTGCTACTGCTTTTGCTGCTGCTGCTGCTGCTGCTGCTGCTGCTGCTGTGGGGTGCAGCAGCAGTATTTCGAGAGCCCTTTGCTGCCGCTGGCTGATGCTGTTCCTCCTGTTAAAAGATCAGACATCAAGTAAGAAAAGAATTATACTTAAATATGTTTAAATATATTTAATTACATTTAATTATATTTAGTTATGTTTAAATATATTTAATTATATTTAAATATATTTAAAAGGAGATAATTAAAAGTGCATGCATGCGCTGTTTTGTGCTTATATCTATATATGTATATATCTATATATGTATATATATATATGTATATATATATATATTTGTTTAATTTATCTACTTAAATATATCTTCTTCATTGTTGCACATATATATATACATATATGCATATGTATATATATATATATACATCTATATATATAAATATATATATATATATATATATATATACTTCTGTATCAATATTTACATATTTATATTTGCATTTTTATATTTACATTTAGATATATGTAAACATACATATATACATACACATCTATATATATATATACATCTATATATATAAATATATAAACCTCCTTTGGTGGTGTTTATGTAGCAATCTATGTTTTGGAGTCCTGCTGCATGCGTCTCTCTGTTTCCTGCTGCTGCTGCTGCTGCTGTTGCTGCTGCTGCTGCTGCTGCTGCTGCAGGGAGGAGGATGCTGCTGG